TGCAATAAACTACCTTGAGACCGAACAACAGAAGAATATTGAGCCTTTCTTTGGAAGCTCGGGTTGGAGGAGAGACTTTTCCACCATGTGGAACCACCTCCAACCTAGGTGTGAGCTCTGGCAATTACTCAGCTATCTGGCAACTGAGTGCTGGAGAGAAGCAGCTTCTGAAACTCAGGCAATTGGTTTGCTAAGAATTCAGCAAAGGGAGAAAGAAAGGGAAAAAACCAACAGTGGTACACTTAGAACCAAAATAAAAGGTTTATGATTTATGCTAATTGAGGTGGCATATCAGGTTTGCGTCTGAGACATGTGGGTTTGTGGTGTTGTGCAGTATAGCAATTTAATTTTTTTTCAGATAGCTTTTAAGTGTTCAAAGTGATCACAAACAACAGGAAGTCTGCCTTTTCTTGTTCATCTGTCAAAAGAGCATGACAGCAACCTCCCTGCAGCAGAGCAGCTGTGCCCAGCACTGAGAGATAGCTCTGAAGCGGGGGAAAAGGTTTGAGATTTGGATCTGGGTTTTAAGCAGATGTGCAAGTGCTCTTTTTCTTGTCCAACAGGCCCTGGAAGTGATCAGGCAGCTGAAGGAGACCATGCAGATTGAACGTGCTCACATGAGGCTGAGGTTTATCCTGCCAGCAAAGGAAGGCAAGAAGCTGAAAGAGAAGCTCAAGCCACTGATTAAAGTTACTGAGAGTGAAGACTTCCAGGAACACCTGGAAATGGTAAGTAAAAACAGTCCCTGGGGTTCAGGTTTGATTTGAACTACACATGTGTATTTTACTAGGAGATGAATTCATAGAAGTTGTTTAGTGGAAGTTGTTTACATAAACTGAAGGCTTAACAGAGATCCTGAATCAGAGCTGCAGTTGGGAAGTTTTAATTTCACAGAATCCTAGTGGTATAGGCATGGAAGCAGCCTTTGGTATCCAGAGGTTGCTGCTCCAAGCTGACTGCACGGTGCAATTCCTCTTAGCAGAGATGATCCTGCAACACTGATAAATCTCTGTCACATGTGGAATGTTACTGTTACTTATTTGGTGCCTTCTGTCTAGATTTTAAGGGTGGCTAATTATTTTTTTTTTTAAGTTGGTGTGTGGTAAAGCACAATTTGTATTAAAATCTTCATCCAAGTAGATTAGAACGCAGCAATCCCAACTGGCAAAAGCCATGTCCAGCATGGGGAACTGGAAATGTAGAGTTCTGTGGAAAGATTGCTGCCAGAGAGAGCTTGTCAACTCTTCAGTGTCCTCCTCAGTAACTAGCTAGGATTGTTTTAATGAATGTTAGGTGTTGGGAAGGGGCTGATGAAATCCAAACATTCTTGGCTGACTGATGAAATGTGGAACATTCCAGGTGTGCCTTATTGACCCAGGCTGCTTCAGGGAGATCGACGAGCTGATCCGCAGTGAGACAAAAGGGAAAGGATCCCTGGAAGTGCTCAGTCTGAAGGATGTGGAGGAAGGAGATGAAAAGCTTGAATAACAAAATCTTCTGCAGCAGATCTGCTTCAACAACCTCCCCGCAGTGACTGGTGTAGCCACTCTTCTGTTAGGCCTTCATGGTTTTTCCAATCTCTTGCTGCCAAATATTTTCTGACACTAATCCTTTGGGATTTTTCCATGCAGTGTGGGTGGGTTTTTTTTTTTTATCATTTTACACTTTCTTGGTTTACAGATGTCTTTGCCTGAAAGAAGATTTTGTGTCAGAGTTGCACTAATGAGGACTGAGTGAGGGTGTGGTAGGAGGTTACTCTGGCTTTGCT